GGGAATGCGGGGTGCTCAGAGGAGGGGGCAGAGTTGGGGCAGGGACTTTGGGGAAGGGGTTGGAATGGGGGCGGAGAAGGGGTGGGGTTGGGGCAGGGCCGGGGGCGGGACCGGGGCCCCGTGGAGTGTCCTCTTTTTTAAATGTTTGAATATGGTAACCCTAACTCAGCACTTCTGCAGATCAGACCCCAGAGACTCAGGTTGGGCATCCAGAAAATAAGGAACATACAATTAGTGACCACCTGTGAAAAATCTGCTTGAAGTGACTTGCCAGGGATCACATAGGAGCTCTGTGGCAAGAGGCAGGGATACAATCTCCACGGGTGCATTCAACTGTCCTAACCATGAGACCATCCTTTCTCTCCCTGCAATCCCCTGTCTCATTCAGTGCAACCAGAATGTTTTACTGAGGTCCTGGCTGCACTTTTCCTCCTGCTGATCCATTCAGACCCCATCCATGGCCCCAAAAAGTCCTGGGAGCCTCCTCAACAACCTCCTCCTGGCTCAGGTCAAGATGGCTATCCATCACTTTAGGAGGAGAAGCAGAACAGGGGGGTTGGGGCCTATTTCCAGTCCCTTGTTCACTCACATCTCTGGGCAGAGTCCTACAGACTCTCTGGATGCCTTTGAGGAGACGTGGGCACTGTCCAGGATTCTCTGCTCGGTGTCCCCCTCTGATTTCCTCATTTTTAACCTTTGACCTCACTCCCGATCCTGTTATTTCATTTATTGTCCCCAGAAATCAGTGATAGCCTGGGTCTAGCAGTTCCTCCCCTTAGCTGAGGGGGTCAGGCCTTTAGTTTTGGGCAGACCTAGACCTGCTTGTCCCCAGTTCTACAAATAGCACACACCTTCCAGCATCAGCAACAAATAAGGTAGGATTCCACAGACAACAGGTTTGTTCTCTACACCACCCTGATTTATCCCCAGAACAGGTCCTTCCTGTGCACTGAATGCATATGGGGTCTTGTGGGAAAAAATAGTGTCTCATCATGTAATTAAAGACTGTATCACAAGCATACACAAAAGTGGAGCAAATTAAGGTTGCAACCTTAATTCTGGCATTTCCCATTTTGGCTTTGCATCTTTAAAATTGTTCTTGTATCATAGATTGATCACAGATACATATATAGACTGATCCAACACCACTAAAGGCAACAAGAGTTTTGCCTCTGATTTGAATACGAGTAGAAGCGGGTCAATAAAGCACATACTGTCAGAGATGATACTATCACCCTTTACCATTACTCAAAGCCACCACTGGGCTTTGGGCCAGGCCCTAAGTAAAGCAAAACAATTAGTGTAGGATCAAACCCAGAAGTCGTTATTCATGCAAAGTTCCTGAGTTTTGCCTGAGTAAGGACTGAGGGATTTGAGCCTCCATAATACCTTCCATGGTGAGTCTTATGCAACATGTTTTTACAAATAGAATAGTAAACTGGAGAAAGAGGATCTTTATTCTCTGACACACACAAATGATTTCTCATGTACCCGGTACAGCTGCTGTGTTATTTCAAAAATGAAGCAAGGCAGATTCAAAATTCAGAAGGGATCAGTTTTACTTAGAAATACTGTAGCAATGGATCGGTTGACAGCTCTGGGCCTGTTTTCGTGTATCAGACTAGCTTTGATATTGCCTTACCTGTGTAATAGAAAAGAAAACCTAAGATGGATAAACTCTAGAATATGTATTCTAGAGAAAAGAACATTTCATCACTATGCGGAATAAAGATAATGGGTGAGATCTTGGCCCCGATGGAGTCCATGGCAAAACTCCCATTGACTTCAATGAGATCAGGATTTTACCCATTATCTATACCCCATGCCCAATGTTTTTAACATGGTACATGTAATGCTAAAGCATCCAATCTTTCAAGCCTTGACTTAGTTGGAGTTCCAAGCAAAGAGTGCTTGTGGGATCGGACCTCAAATGACAATGTGTTCAAGAAAGAATTGCATCCAATGTTTTATTATCGTTCCATTAGATCAGTAGATAGATAATGTCAGTGAAGTGGTACAGGATGCAAGTCACAAGCAGAATTTTTCTCCCTGTTCCTCGTGAAAGATTTTTGGTGGCAAGGCCTGATCCAGCTTCCATTAAGGACAATGGAAAGACACCAATTGATTAGGCATTAGTGAAAGAGTCTTAAATCCATGTTCTGATCTCACTTAGAATGGTGTCAGTCAGATCAGAATCAATACCTTAGTGTTTACCTCCAATCCGTTGATGAGTCAAAGGAGGGAAAGGTTGAAGTGTTATGAATTTTTAAAAGGGCAAAAATATCTCAAGCTTAATATTGCCAAAGATGATGACTTCCTTTGATTAGTCAGACTAATTGAGACTAGCTTTATCATTAGCAGATGATTAATTCGGAGTCAATGAGATCTCTATTTGCACCACAGTAATCCTCCACTCCATTTTATTTCAACATTTAGTCTTTATGTTTTAAATATTCATTGAGAAAGCAGGTGATTAACATAGATTTGTTTTGATTTTATGTTTACACATCTTTATCAACAGCATAAAAGGGAACCAGCCAGTGTTACAAAATCGTTACTGTGTGTGCCATATACATCCCGTTCATTCCTCAGTTGTGGATGTAGACTTATTTTGGCTATATTTATTTGGAAGCAGGGGGAGGAAGAAGCTAAACAAAGACAAAACAACAAATCAAAGTCTTCTTTGGCCCACTTTATTTTCATCTTGAACGTTACCAACAGGAACTGTGGGCCCAATCCTACAACCCTTTGCTCGCATGAGAAATTCCTACTCTTGTGAGTAAGCCCATGGACGTCAATGAACCTGCACCTGTTGCCCTGGGTATAGTCATGTACTCAGTGCAACACGTGTATGAAATGTTACCAGATCAGAATGGTATTTTATAGCCACTTTGCATTGGAGTAAATGGTTACACACAATTTCAGAGCAAAGGTGAAGCAAGCCCAATGGGTTTAATTCTCATCTCATGTAAATTGGTGTAAATCTTACTCTGAGTTCAGACCAGTATCACTGACAGCACAGTTTGGCCCAATGGGACTACTTGAATGAGTAAGCATTATTCATGTAAGTGGCTGCGAGATGGGGCCTCCACTTTGTAGGTAAAAGGAATTCAGCTGTTGTATTGGCCTCATATGTTGCCACCCTCAGGGCATAATAATCAATTTGCAGGTCATCTTTGTTGAGAGTTGAATATTATTTTTGATTAATGACAACTATGAGGTCTACAAGCCTGACCGTGTTGCCAACCCTTGAGATTGTATCACAAGTCTCAGGATGTTCGGTGCTTTTCTTAAAGCCCCACTTCCTGGAGTCATGTGATTATGTAAAATTTCAACTTTCTTTTTAAAGTTCCCAGCCCCCATGTTTGTGGAGAAACACTAGAAAAACATGAACCCTAAAGACTCAAACACCAGAAAGCAAGTTAAAAGACCCCCAAATGTATTTATTTATTTTAAATCTCAATATTTTAAAATTCATCTCCTGAATTCTGGGAGCCTGGCTCATGATTTTTGATGGCTAGGGGTTGGCAATATAGATTTCATCATCATCCTTTGTATACTGTTAAGATTCCTGCTTCTGCAGTAAGGTCCATCCGCTTCTCTGAGGCTCAGCAGGAACGCAGGCTCTGTCCACATAGAGATCACTCTAGGATCCGGACTTTAGACTGTAAAAAATGTCTCACTGCATAAAGAGGTGCTTTAGGGCAGCAATCTCTAGCACAGAACATGAGGAAAGCTTATCACCATACAGGATTTTTTCCAAAAGGTCTCAAGGCCTTTTTTTTAAAGGCCTAAAGCAGAGTTAGGTACCTCTCTGCTAGCGGTACCTTTGGAAGCCTCCCCACTAAATTCCTCATAGTACATTTGTTATCGTGGTTAGCACAGGGGCTTGAACCTGCAAACTCGGCAGCATAAGCGTCTAAAGCATAAGTGAAAGGAATGATTCGCCTAGCTGGGAGCTGCAGCAGATTCATATGCTTTGCAAATGAGGGGATCTGTAACAGACACTGAACAGTGGGTCACTCTAACGTGCACTTCATTTATTTTATTTTATTTTATTTTATTTTTAAACCACCGCAAACATTGCACTGGCCGTCGAAAGGAGCTGAAAAAGATACACGTCGCCCATACCCAGGAAAGCTATTTAATAAATATCATCAAAACAAAAATGAAAAGAATCCCCCTCCACACACCGCCAAGCACAAAACGCCTGTAAGTCAACAGAATTTAATCTAGTTTATTCTCCAAAAAAAAAAAAAGAGGGAAAAAATATGAAAACAAAACAAAACCAAAAAAAAAAACAGGTCTTAACACTAGCAGTAAATAAATTTATACAACCATTCAGTCTGTATTATAGGATGAAATAAATCTACATCTTTCTTAATTTGGTGCTTTGAATTATACATACAAACAACAATTACAGGAACTTGTTCACAATGCATATAGGCCTGAAGAATGGCTATCTGAAAACCCTCACTGGCAATATCCATATGTTAACACTGATTGCCCCAAAACCATTATTACTTCCTATGTAGAAGGCCTGGTGCCTTGAATGAATGATCTGCCTACAGCTTTTAGTTAGTTAGTTAGTTAATGCATCAAACAATTTGAGCCAGCCAGAGAGAGAGAGAGAGAGAGAAGACACGACTGGCGGTTTGTCCATTCGTTCGTTAGATCTGGTTCTTCTCAGTCGGCATTTTTATTCTCCTCCCCATCCGCCTTTAAAAAAATTTTCCTCTGAGTCCTTCATGCCTGTCTTTACAGCTTACCCAGATGCAATAAAGTCTTCCTCAAATGTACAGTATTCCTTACAATATAAGTTATATGCAATGTTCAGCTTTTTTTTTTCACAGCACTAGAGACCCTGTTAAATAGGGAATATGAGTCTGAATGGCTTATTCACAGATGGAGTCCAGATTCAGAGGTTGAGAATACAGACACCATAGTGAGTTCCTTTAAAAAGTGGCAAACATCACTTTTTTTTCCTTTTTTTTCCTTTTATGCCTTCAAATAACTTTTTTTTTTTTAATTTTTATCCATTTGTTTTGGGCTTCAACTGGATAACCGCACGCCTGCAAAAATGCAAGTATATAAAGTAAATCTCATTTTGAGACCGTAAGCATTCAGCAGGGGGAGTCTGTCTCTAACCCATGGCAGTGACCATGCTGGAAGGATGATGAGGTCCGAAAGAGAGGCTGGATGGCGGGTGCATCGGTGTCGGCGTAGTCAGCATGTGGCTAGAGTGACTAAAAGGTGAAATGTGGCTGATGGAGGACATGTGTCTGGAGAGGGCGGCGGGATTAAACGAGCTGCTCTTGGGGAAATCTTCCAGGTTGTCGTGGACTTTTTTGCACTTTTTGGATTTGCTAGACATTTTTCGGTTTCTGGTCTGAATTCCTTCTTTCTTCATAGTCAGGGGTCTGTTAATCTAAACAAAAATCAATTATTTTTTTATTGTTTTTTTTGCTGCTGTCCCTCCTCCCCAGATCGCCGCGGAACTCGTCACCGACACATCATTAAGACCTGGGAAACGGCCAACCAAATTCCAGATCCGAACGAGTCTTTTGGGGGCATGTGAAAAAAAAAGCTGGTAGGGTTTCATGGTTGCCGAGACTAATGTATGTAACTTCCAGTGACCAAAAGGTTTAGGTTACCATGTTCCAGGACACTGGGTAACCGGAGTGCATCTGCAAAACAAGCTAGTGAATATCAGCTCATATAGTCCTTAAAGGCACTATCTCAACCCTCAAGGCCTCTTGTTAAGGCAAATTTAAAATCATTAAAGCTAATATCCAGTGAAATAATTAAATCTCAATCTTGTCTACAAAGGACCTAAAATACTCTTGTCACCATCATAGAACTGGGAAAATACTGCCAAACATGAGCAAAAAATATTATTGGTATTTTTTTAAAATAAATTTGCTTTGGATATGCTTACTCCTTTGTGTGTGTTCCTTTTCTGCAGACATTTCCTTGAGGTGAGTTTTATTGGCAGGAAGCAAATTTAAAATTCACACACACAAATATTTGCAGAAAACCCAAACATTAAATTCTCATGCATGAATATTTGCACCAGAAGTGCAATTCACACATCCAATCAGGGAAGAGAGACAATACCATGTGACTTATCGAACCAACCACAACTAAGCTCAAGAAGGAAAGGCTGAGTATCTAATTCTCACAGGCTGAAATTCATCTCTATTCAGAGGCCAGTATCAGACACATGTCCCACTTAAGTCCCACTTACGGCTTAAGGGCTTAGCTGGGACTTAAGTGATGCAAAGGCCTTTTCCTGACTTCTCTGCACAGGGATGAATTTCACCCACAGCAAACTATGCTCCATCCAGAGAGTTCAACAAAATCCCCAAAATATTAACCAGATCATTTTGAATATTACTATTAATAATATATTTGAGGGAATCACAATCAGCTGGTGGATATCATGCAAGTGGGAAAAGAGGCTAAATATATCTGATAAATTATCCATTGCAAATTATTCTCTCACCTCTAGTAAATGATGACAAATAAAGGTGGAAAAATATCATTCTTGCACCATTGTGACCATTATTTATGACTATAGGAAAATTTACCTTCTTGCTTGTAGGCTATTGCATGTTGCTCTCCACCATAGCATATGAGTTATTAATTAATGTATGCAATTGTCCACTCAGATAGGGCAAGTATTATCTCCATTCTATAGAGGGGGATCTGAGGCCCAGATCAGACAGGAAGCCTATGGAAAAGCCAGGAAAAGGACCACGCTTACATGGGTCCCAGTCTAGCACCTTTAACTACAAGACCAGCCTGCTTCTCAACTGCCTTTTGTAACTCAGAGGATTGGAGCCTCTGAGAGATGAAGCTTTTCACCTGTAGAATGCTGGCTCAAATCCAGCCCAGGTCAGTAGTAATCAAAAGTTGCTATCATCCAAGTCTGTTTGATGGCCTATTTTAAATGAGTCAGTGGTGTCACCCCCAGTTCCTAGCGGAGAAGTATTCCCATTAGATTGCTAATGAGGCTGCCAATTGAAAACGGAGAGTCCTGGGACTCAACGAGCACAGAATGTGAGCTACCCGTTTAGTTCTAAGGACACTCAGGTTTGAAGGGTATTGGGGACAGTTTGCACCATTCCTGACCACACCATACGTGTTCGGTAGATATACAGCCCACTGCCGTCAAGGTGGTCAATTCTGCACTTTCCACCAACATTGGGTGGGGGATACCAGAACACGTGGCCCCATTTCTCCCAGCAGAGTGAGTGCTCGTGAGTTCCTCGCGGCAAGATCACATGCAATATGCGCCGTGTGCAAGTGCTATACACAGGTGCCCTCGGTGATCCGGCATAAGAGACCCGAGGCTGAATTTTGCTGTGATCCCAATGGCAGGATAGAAAGAGGTTTTCGTTTTCCACTGACTTTAAAATGTAGTTGCACTATAATTAAAAGGTCACCCATAGGAACTGAACCCACAGATCTTTCTCTGTTTCCACTGCACATAAACATGAGGTCCAAAGGTTAGGACACGGCTCCCTTTTCAACAAAATTACCTCTGCAGTAAAAGCTAAACACATGCTAAATAAGAGATTATTTCGAGTAGCATAATAATAGAAATGGGCCAAACACATGTATATGAAAATCATTCATTTCGGATGGATCCCATTAATTATGGGCAGTCCTGCAAGGAAATATGTTCTCTGCTTTACTGTATGCAGATTACAGGCTATTCTGTTCTTGGGACACACTGCTCCGCTGCCCTGTAGCTTCCAGCTATTGCGAAATAAGGGTCAGAACTTGCACCTGTTGAAGTCAGTGGCAGCTCACACATTTAAAAAGGTGCACGTTTGAGCTCTGTGAGCCCGATCCTGTGAGATGCGGAGGGCCTCCTGCCAGGTGCTGGGCATCCTCCACGCCCTTTGAAGTCAATCGGGCCTGATCCTACTTCTAGGGAATATTGCATGTAAGTTCAATGCGGCAAGATCGGCCCCGAAAGCCCCAAATTCAACACATCAAATAGATGGAATAGTCAGAGATGACCCGTGCCTGCCCATAGTGGGGGGGAAAGTGAGGGCAGACGGCTTCAGCACTGTGACTGAGCATGCTCAGTCCGTGTGAGCATGCTCAGTACAAGCCAAGCAGCAAATCTGGAGGGGGGGGGGAGGGATGCTGTGACTCTGCACGCTCCCCTCCCCCCCGCGTCGTCTGTGGATAGTCTTATATATTATAGGTCCGATCTTGCTCAGACTGAAGACAGTGGGATTTTTGCCATTGACCTCAATGGTGCTCTGTGGCTGCAGTAGATTTAGACATTATAATGCTCAGTTAATCTCCACGAGTCCCTTTATCTGAGAAAGCACTTGAGGATCTCAGAAGGCGCCCTATAAATGTGAAATATTAGTAATTATTAATAGGATTGTTAATGGGTCCTATTAAAGTCAATAGGACATTTGCCAGTGACTTCAATAGACGCAGGAATGAGACTATTATTACTAACATCCTCCAGGCAATTGGGTTTGCTTTACCGGCAGGAATCTAGTGGAATCTTAAAAATAAATTAGCATAACTGGGAGGGTCAGGGAATAGCGTCAATATCCCAGCCCTGCTGTCATGCCAGCCTTGGAATTGGTCTCATTGGGTGTTTTCCCTACAGATCATTTGCAGGAGTGGGCTCTAAACAGACAACAATTTAAAGGTCTGAATAAAACTCATTAATAAAAACATGAAAATGCAGAACAATAAAAAACGTATTCCATATATTTGATCCATTATATTCAGTGACTATTCCTCACAGTGCCCACACTAAAAAATGTTGAATGCTTCTTTGGACGGACAGGGGGCCTTAAATTCATACTGATCACCACAGCTTACTAGAGACTCATAGCACCGGTTAAGAATGGACTTATCTGATGAGACCCAGCGACGAACAGACTTCTGTCTCACCGCTCACTAGAAACTAGTGCTGGTTTGAAAACGCACATGGCCAGCTCCTCGGCCTGTGCAAACTGGTGTTCCTCCATCAACTTCAGTGATGTCCCTTTACATCCCTTTGAGGATCTCTACACTTTCTTGTAAATATATTAGCCTCTAGAGGAAGCCTGTCCACCTGCCATAACTGGCCCCCTCTGTAGCAAAGTATTGACTGAAGGATTAGTCTGGTGCTATTCACAAGACAGTTAACACAATCTTATCGATCCTGCCTCCCAGAAAGACAGCAAAGGAGGTGGCCTACGCTTGAAGGCAACTCAACAAAACTCCTAATGCTTTACAGCACATCATGGAAATCAGTCACCATACGGGATGCTGCCTTCCTGCCCTCTTCCTCACCACACTCCCAGGTATCTGCTTTCACAGCCTGCCTTCTCCAACCTATGTTCCCTCTGGTTTGGTTTCTTTGCTGATATTCGCTTATCTCCCTAACCTCCACAACACTCTAGGGCCTATGCAATCAGAGGCTCTTACATTGTCTGGGCAGGAGAAAGGTGTTAATAAATAAAACCTTGATCTTCCACCTCACAGTCAAAGATCTTTAGATCTTGGGGGGAGGTGATATTTTCAAGTGAAAAGCAGTGCTGGGAGTTGCTACCTTCCCTTTCCCGTCAGGGCTAAAGACAGAGCTGCAACTGGACATCATCCATGAGGAAAGAGGATCTTATTCATTAATGGCCAGTTTTGAAACTCTTGCTGATCAGTATCTTACTCCACCAGCAGTCCCATTTAAGCCAATGGATCCACTGAGAGCAAGATGCCACTCGACTTGAGTAAAGGGTATCAGAATCTGGCCCATGTACTATAGCCGCCACCGAAGTTGTTGTTGTCACCGGCTGAAGATGTTTTTAAAGAATGTGAAAGTGGTTCTAATCTACTCAGCATGAGCGATGTGCCCCATATCACAAATTTCACAGTTGAATCTGAACTTCCCCAAAATTTGGATCTGGGGGGCGAGGAGGCCTGGATCAGGTCCACGACACACAGGATACATAGTCATAAAAAAATGAATGGGTGAGTGAACCTGCAAAAGCCAGACAGGTTTGGATAGGAACCCGAGATCCCTGCTACTTTCTGATCCCTCTTGGACTGAAAATACCACGGGACAGTTTAGTGCTTTCACGCCAGATTCCTGGAGCCAGTTGCCAATGGCCACTTTTTCAGTGACTTCAATAGGAAGAGGGTGGTGCCCTTCGTTCACTCCTTGAGACTGAAGGAGTGTGGAGATACGTGAAAACGAATGGGGAAAGTTAACCAAACTTTGTTCCATGTTCAATAAGGGAAGCATGGCTAGGCTTGGGCAAAGATCTTGGTCATTTTTTATTTTACCCAAACTGGTTCTCTCATCCCTAGCTTGAAACATCCCTAGCTCAAAACAGCTTGAATATTAAATGGAAATGACGACCCAGCTAATGCCCTCAGCTCCACTCAGCTCAGTATTTCTAAATGAAACATAAAGCAAACAACCACTCCAAAACAATGTGACATCAAAGCAAAGCAATTGTAAGTCTTTGCCTTCTTCCTTACGTTGTTATTATTATTATTATTTCATTATTATTATTATTATTATTATTATTATTATTATTATTATGCCAGGTATGGAATGAATGTAACAGTGTCTATTATTAATTAATAAAATAAATAATAATAATAATAATTGGTATAACTCTTCCCAGATCCCTTTAGATCTTTCCTTAGGGCATGCATCCCTGGTTTAGGTGCGCTGGTTTCGCATGGAGCTGTTAGATTAAATCTACCAGACATTTCATTTCATTTCCCCTTCCCTTCCACAAGCAGCGCTTTAAAATTCACAGCACAGGTTTAGCAGATCTTCATCCCACTAACTAAATCAAATCCTCTTCATTTTAGGAATTGCGTGTACCATCCCGGGCAATTATAGCTAACTTTTTGAGTGGGGGGAGGGGGGTTGGGGAGAAGGACGCAAGGAGAGGCCTAAGAAATAATGGCTGGTGTGTTATTTTTGTCTTGAGTTCATATTTTCTCAAGGAACCGGACTTAGCATCCAAAGCATATCAGTTTGCAACATGGCATGTTGTCTTTTCTAGTGTGCGGAGTCCAACACAAAGTAGATAATAGCGCTCTCTGTTGATAAACTCCTCCTTTCTTGGCTTGCGCATGGTAAAGGTATATCGTTACTGATCTGTGGGCCTGTCTTATAAGGCTTCAAACCGGGTCCTGTTACATCAATTCTATTTTAATCAAATCATTAAGGAGGGGACGGGGAGCGTTTCCTCATCCTGGCTAATGGTCTGATCCTGGCAGGTCCCAAAGGGATAAGTGGATGTTCCGAACCTCTCAGGATTGGGGCCCTTTAAGTTCCGGAGAATTTTTAATGTACGTGCCTGAAACAGAAGCTTCCTGACGAGAGTTACAGTTACACTTACATTGTGCAGCTTGTAATAGAGCCCGCAGGCGTTACAGACGGGATCACCATTGGCATTTCTCCTCCACAGCGTGGTGGTGGTGGTCTGACAGTTTGCACAGGATGTGCCCGCCCGTCTTGCTGCAGACTGAGGTAAGGTGGGAGAAAAAAAAGCCCCCGTATTAAAAAGATTCAATCAGCAAAACCACTGAGCCAGCAAACAGAAACTGGACAAAACTACTGCACGTTGCTAAATGACTCATGAGAACAAATAGTAATTCCGAAAATCCCCAAGGTGCGTTCATCCCAAATTATCTAGGAACGGCACTGGGGGCCTACGGGAAGTGCCAAACCTCCAGAAGAAATCATCCCAAACTGCAGCTCTGGCAGATCCCGTTTCAGAGGGGAAAACATTACTTAAATGCCATCAGGCTTTTCCATTTTAAAACTCTCAGGTGCCCGTGGGTCTGATTCTGCATTTAGGGCCCAAACTAACAACCACTGAAGTCAACGGAAAGCCTGGAGTTGACCGCCCTGGGTATTGGATCAGACCCTAAAGCACATTCAAAACTCGGACGTCACTGGGCGTTTTGGATGCGCAAAGAATGCAGGATCAGGCCCCAAATAAGGCTCCATCCTGTAGACTTCACTCACATTGAAGCGCACAGAACTACTGCACAGGCTCCGTCTTGTAACTCATATTTCAGCTAAGGGTGGCAGCAGCTGACCTCTCAGTCACGTAATTTTAAGCCAAACGTTTCAGTTCATTTGAGTATTTATAGATCTGAAATAAGACTTCACCGTTTTATAGAAGCCATATAAGAAAAGGAAAAAAAGAACCATTTTCATTACCTGTAAAATAAGAATGTAGAAGGACATTTGGGAATGTACTCCCTCTTTTATACATATGTTATAATTAACAATCACAACTTTTACCATTTTGCTCCACTCCATCCATCTGCGATGGATAAACTGAGCTCCACTTTGTCATGTGTTAGGGTACGTCTACACTACCCACCGATTTGGCGATAAATCAATCCCCAATCAGTCTGCCGTCGACTCCTGTACTCCACTGTGGCGAGAGGCGGAAGCGAAGTCGACGGGGGAGAGGTGGCAGTCGACCCCGCGCCGTGAGGACGCGAGGTAAGTCGACCTAAGGTACATTGACTTCAGCTACACTATACTCATAGCTGAAGTTGCGTATCTTAGGTCGATTCCCCCCACCCATTGTAGACCAGGCCTTAGGCTTTCAAATAAGATCTTTAAAGCCAAAGTCCTTTCTGCCCCTCACGAACATTAAATGGTTATTGGGCTCTGATTCCACACCTATTCATTGGCTTCAAAGGGACTACTCACGAACTCAAAGTTAAGCGTGTGCTTAAGTGCTTTGCTGGAGCTAGGCACTGCTCAGCACCTTGAGGAACTGAGTTTTAATTCTCTTCTTTGTGCCACTAATCTAACCATTTACCCCACTACCCACTCCAGCTGCCTATCGCAGCCCATACAACATTTAAAAATCACTAAGTCTCTGGACACTGTACAACAAATCTAAAACACAAATGTGGACATTAGGGGTAGTGTTCACTTTAACTGTGAATTTCCTGGCTTTTGGTAGGTCATGTTACAACTTAAATAATAATTAAATGTAGTGTGGGGAGTCCAGGGATGGGGGAGGGGCTGTTTTATTGGGCATTACATGTCCTTTGTTTATTGGCTGGTTAGGATTTTCATTATTTAGACAAAAGAAGTGTGAAACATAAAGTAAATACATACACACACAATAACCTGCTTAGAACACTCACCATGATCGAATACAAAAGGGCTACCACAATCTGGGCCAATGGGAGTTTAAGGTATGTCAGGAATGCAAGGATCAGGTCCTAGTTGTGTATACAAAGTAGGCAAGATAGGCAGCAATTTGTCTGTGGTTCAAGCCATTTAATTTGATTTTAACTGTTAGTCTGCATGTGACGGGCTATAACTGGAAAAACACTGTGGGTGAAATCCTGGTCCTATTGACTTCAAGGAGTCTTGAGGTCCTGAACCTAGACTTTGCTCAATGGAAACTCCCACAGACTAAAGAATCAAGCTCTGAGGACCTCATCTCAACCACTGAAAGGTTTCCAATTGGCTTTAGTGGGCTGTGGACTGGGCCCTAAATGTGCTAAAACTAACATGCAAACATTACATTTTCTGCCAAGTCCAGGCTCCCAAAAAAGAAAAGAGTGAAGCCAAGGTGGGATGCAAATATGGCTAGTGATCATGATAAAGGAAAGGGTAGTTTTGTTCTGATCTCATTAAGGAAAATGAGGATTAATTAAGAGATCTGACTGGCAAACTTTTAAACAGGGGAGCCCATGCAGAGTAGTGGTATGTTACACAACATGTGAAGTAAACAATCAGTTGCAGTCTAGGGCCTTGTCTACACTACAGGGGGAGATCGATCTAAGTTATTCAACTTCAGCTACGTGAATAGCGTAGCTGAAGTCGATGTACTTAGATCTACTTACCGCGGGGTCCACACTACGCAATGTCAACTGGAGACGCTCTCCCGTCGACTCCCCTTTCGCTTCTCATTCAGGTGGAGTACAGGAGTCGATAGGAGAGCGATCTGCGGTCGATTTAGCAGGTCTTCACTAGACTCGCTAAATCGACTGCCGATGCATCAATCGCCGCGCGTCGAACCCCCCAGTAAGTGTAGACAAGGCCTAGGATTATTTTCTAAATGTGGCAATTCTTTTTAGCCCATCATAACAGATTGTTCAATGCAAAAATTGCAAATAAATTAAATGTTAACACTCCAAATTGTTTCAAAAATTATGCCAGGTGTCTGCATGCTCTGAAGTGAGTATATTCAGATTTACAAAAATATGAACTGCAGACACATACTTGCTAGGCAAAGGGAAAGGCGTGTGCGTATGTGTGTGTGTGTGTGTGTGTATGTTGATTTCTGATCCTGCAGTCCTTTCTTGGGTAAATCTAAAGCCCCAGTCCTGCAGATACTGAGGCACATGCTTAATTTCAAGCATATGAGGAATCCCACTGAAATCAATTCAAGTTAAGCGTGTGTGTCAGCATTTGTGGGATCAGAGTCGAAAACTGACGTGGGGACTGATGCTTCAGTTTCTGCATAGGCTCATATCCCATCTCCAATGGCCGTTCCATGAGTAGAGCAGGAACAGCACCAGTCTCTAGGCTTTCAGTGGGAGTTTTACCCTCGTCAGGCCTGAAGTATTGGGCCCCTGGGGATTTCTAAAACCAGTGATATTTGACTCAGCCCACGCAAGAGGAAATGTCTCCCTTGGAGACATTTTGCGGTTTTGTGCCCTATGCCACTGATGTTCACAATCAGTAATTCCACACGACACAAAAATCCTCATGATAAATGTAATTTAAAGGCAAAAAAAAAGCATTATTCTTGCACAATTATCTCTTTCTGAAAAGAAATGCTAAAAAATGATAGAACTAAGGGTCTTATCCTACTCCCATTAATGTCCATGAGAAAACTCCCACTGATTTCAATGGAAATGAGCAAGGCCAAAATTAGTTGTACATATTACAACTGGAGTGTGAGATTATCATGTAATGTCCTGCAGATACAAATCCCCCCTGGCAGAATGCACAACAACAATACTTTGCACTTATAGAGCATCTCCTGGGGGAGGATCTCAAAGCGCGTTTCCATTCACTAGTGAATCCAGCTTCACAGCTTCTCTCTGAAACTAAGTAGATCTGGTTTTAGGCGCTATGGCCCACAAAGGTTTGATCCAACTCTCATAAATGAAGTCTGCATTGATTTTAGTCAGAGCTGGGGGGGGGTGTCCTATCTTTGCCTTCAATGGGCTGTAGATCAGACCCTCTGAAACTAGCCCAAGGTCATACAGGAAGCTTGCGGGAGCGAGAGAAATACATCCTAGATCCTGTGCCTTAACCACATGCCCAGCCTGTCTCTCTCACTCTCCTTTTGAAAGTTACAACAGATCAAGTTGAGCCACAGACGCCCTTTTTTTTTTAAATACATAATGAAATGCAAATATAAGTTACAGCTCTGTTGACATCTGCCTTCTTGGGGAAATTTGGCAAAAGCAATGTGGTGGTATCGGATGGAGGCAGAACGCTTACTTTGTTCAGTTTATATAGAAAAGGGAAAGGCAAAAATCTAGAAATCTAACATTTATATGTCACCAGTTAGTACAGACCGTGTTCAAACTGCAGGGACTTTTTTTGGGGAGGGAGGAAGACTACTTCATTTTAAGGGCACATCACAGGATATATATATATTTTTTTGTAAGTGAAGCTTTGGGGTGATTCAGAGCATTCTTTGATGTGCAATCACACTTGCTTTGAGAGCACACCTTGCAGCTGCCTGGGGTTTTGTATGGGGGTTTTTTTCAACCCCCTTCTCCTTCTAATACATTCAAACTCCTCAGTGTTTGGGTTGGGGAAGCAGAGCTGTTGTTTATGGGTTATCTCCAGTGCTCAGATATCCGGCAGCTTTTTCCTAGGAAGTTGGCTTTACACATGAAGAGAGAAAGAAAAAAATAATAATAAAGACAGAAAAATGGGTGTGTTTAAGACAGGGGAATGGAGGGGGGGAGGGGCATGGAGGCTAGAGCTTCCCAAAATCAAAAGCCTACAAGCACTTCCCTCCCTAGAAAGTTTTTCCTTTTTCTAATAAGGGCAGGAAAGAGACTCCGTTAAGTAGGACCAACAGTTTCTTTTAAGGGAAAAGTTCATTGTAAGTCGTGGAGCAGTATTGCCTGTACTGTGCAGCATTTGAAGGAGAGAGGAGGATGTACCGGGGAACTTACCCCTCCGTCCCCAAACCTACATGTCCAGTCGAAGACAACAGCATTTCTCCTTGCAGTGTTATCTTTCCTCTGGTCATTTAGAACTTGATCCCAAAAAAGATGTAGCATTTGCATATGTGAATAGTCCTATTCACTTCAACGGGACGAGTCACAGGCATAAAGTTAAGCAGGCGTCTCAGGCCTTGTCTACACTATGGAGGGGAGATCGATCTAAGTTACGCAACTTCCGCTATGTGAGTAACGTAGCTGAAGTCGACGTACTTAGATCTATTTACCGCGGGGTCCACCCTACGCCAGGTCAACTGGAGACGCTCTTCTGTCGACTCCCCTTGCGCTTCTCGTACAGGAGTCAATAGGAGAACGATCTGCGGTCAATTTAGCTGGTCTTCACTGGACCCACTAAACTGACCACAGATGCATCGATCGCCACATGTCGAACCCCCGATAAGTGTACACAAGGCCTTAGTGTTTGCAGGACTGGGGCCGTAGGTGCATGCGTAACTCTACTCATGTGAGTAATCCCACTGGAATCAATGGGACGAGTCACTTGAGCAAAACTACGCACATGCCCTGCAAAGACCCATTGGCTTACTCGCTGTGCATAAAGTTAAGCATGATTTGCAGGATAGAGGCCTAAGTGTTTTGCAGGATCTGGGCTTTAAGGGGAGTTGTATTATTCTGTCAGTTAATTCTGCTGTTAAGTACCATGGGGCAGGAATCACACTTTCCTCTGTGTTTTGAACAGCAGCCAGCATACTGTCAGCATTTTTAATAATAATAATGAGACTAAATGTTCCTTCATTCATGCAGTCACTTCCCAGGGAGGGAACACAATTTTGTCCCACTTTCCCCCTCCCTCCCCCGGCCTTGTTGCTTGCATGATCATTAGCCATGCCTTCCAGACTTTTTGTGGCTTCCCAGGAAATTCACAGATAGATCACTGGGGATGCTAAACATATGATGTGTATTACAGTTACAAGACCTGAAACCATTATTTAATGGAATGAGGCATTTATTTAGGTGCCCTCTGAGGGGGCTGAGGCCCATGCTTAACTTTACACACACCATTCACTTCAATGCCATTACTCACAGGTTCTGCCCTACACCCTGCGTCCTCGTTTATGCCCGTGGGTGTAAAACTCCTACCAGACCGGAACGGTAGCATTTTACACCCACGTTGCACTGATGCAAATGACTATGCCAGGGCGATGGAGGATGGGGCCCAAATTTAAGCCTGGGTGCAATCCTTTGTGAGATTGGGGCCTAATTTATGCGGGGTCGTGGAGGATTCTCCATCACTGACAATTTTTAAATCAAGAGTGTTTTTTTCTAAAAGATTTGCCCTGGGACTTCTTTTGGGGACGTTCACTGGTCTGTGTTTTCCAGGGGCTCTGACTAGATGATCGCTATGACCCCTTCCAGCCTTAGACTCTAGGAATCTCTGATCTATCAGTGCCAGTTACCAAGGCGATCTGTCGTCCAATCAGCAGAAGTTGACCATAGTGGGCGACATGCTCCATCCTAAATACCGCAATAAATAAACTTGGAAACTCTTTTGAGTTCAAAAAGGGAGGGAAGGAAAGGATAAGTCCCTGTGTTCCTTTAAAACCCAGCTGTCCCTGTAATCCCTCTTGGGTGGAGGAGAAAGAAACGCACAAATTTCCCCCATGAGGGTTTCAAATTTAAAAAAAAATGGGTTTCAAAATCTCACTCTTTCAAGGTGAGGCCTCTCAGACCTTGTGCTCTGCCACACTTCTCCTCCAGCCGCTATTCCCCACCCAAGACCCAGGTAAGACAATCAGCATCCCTTAAAGTAATTCCTATAGATAGAGATTTGTAAAGGCACAAATATTAAAAAAAAAATGGTACGTAACTTGGCAGGCACAGTGTAATGTGGGGGATGGGCTGAGAGTCTCTCTATAGCTCGTACTTTAAAACCCCTCTTCAGTACAGACTGACATGTCTGTGGGCTCTCCTGCCCTTTCCCTGCAGAAAGCTCGCCATCCTGGGCTGAGGAAATCAAACACAACAACGACAGAAAGTTAGTGCTGTCTGGCTCGAAGCTCCGGAAAGGGACTTACCAGCCTTCTCTTGGGCTTAATCAGGGGCCGGTTCTGCCCGTTCATTTTGTGATAGAGTCCACAGGCGTTACACAGATAATGCCCGGTGCCATCTCTCCTCCACAGGGGGGTTGAGGTAGCGCCACAGTTTACACACTCCCTGCCTTCTGGAAACAAGAGGGCACATAGTTCACTTATGGAAAGCAATGGGGCGGGGGGGGACAAGTGTGAAAGGCCTCCCTCTCCCCCAAGCATCGCCTTCCCCCAGGCCCTCTGCAAAGCTCTAGCCATCGCTTTGGGCAGGGCTGTTTGTTCCTTATTTCACACACACGTTGTCGTTCTGGTGGCCAAACAAACCACAATCCCAAAGCTTTAGGGGCCCGATCCTTCCCCACCCTCCCCATAGGTGGAGGCAGGATCAGCCCCTTGCTTGTTTTGTCCGCGCTGCTGGAAACTGTTCACTAGCCTGCGCAGAGATCATTACAGTTAGCAAGGAAAATAAAGGGGGGCCTGATCCTGCAGAACTGGCTAGCACCAGCTGCAATGAGTTACATGGGACTGCTTCTCCCACACACTAATATCCACAGGCGATCAAACCACAGGGGGCCCGGCCTGTAACCCTTCCTCACATTGGTAGCCCTTACCTAGGGAGCGGTTCCATTGAAACGAATGAAGCTAGACCTGCCAGCAAAGACACTTTGAATAAAGGCTCCATAGAATTCCTAACTCCCTCTATCCCTGGCCTCGGCGGGCAGGTCAGAAGTTTTTGGTATATTCCAATGAGTTAGGGCATCAGCCAAATCGCATCGATTTGGCTTGACAACACCAATCGATCTTTAAAGTCTGAATGAAAGCCCTAGCCAAGCCCCTGTGCTGCCTATGAGGAGTTCCTAGAGGGCTGTGTTTTCTTTTAAGTCAAGCAGCAAAGCAAACGCATCAGCAACCGGTTCAGTGAAGAGAGAGATTCGGTCGATTACTGGCGTAGTCAATTAACAGGGACCGTATTTCACTCGACTGGTGGAAAACAAACCGAAAACAAACTCAGATTCGGTGCCTCACCCACAGAGGTGCTTTGTCACTCTCCTCTGTTGATGAGGCTTTTAATTAAGTCTTCCAACAGAGATACTTAGGGGACCCTGCAATGCACATATGGGGCCAGTGCCGTGGCTTTAAAATATTTTGTTTTCTCTCCTTCTTATCAACCTGCTTCCCAATTCCTTTCTTTCTCAAGCAGGGAGGGAAAGAGATTGTCAGCTGTCTACTGTTTTAATTCTGATCCCGTATTACTGCCATTTGTTTAACCTAAATAAGCAATACCTTTAATATTGCCCTGGCCTATAGCCTCCATTGCCTCCTTTATCCGCACCTAGCTAAAGTCAGGCTGAAATTGTGACAACAAACATTAGGCTTTGCTCCTGGCTTTGGTTCAGACAAACCATTTTTTAAATCTAACCACACATCCCCAGAGCTTTCAATAATAAAATATCCTGGTGATTATGCTTATTAGTTTGGTTAAAGATGATCGCCTGCAAACGAATAAATGTGCTCAGAGAGCAAAAACGAGGATGATCAAAGTTGATCACTACACATAGAAGGGTTATGGCCCAAAGTTTACTTTTAGGCATTTGGGAACAGGAAATATATGGTTTTTTTGCTACAGTCACAGGAGTGGTTTTTGTGCTAAGGGCTTTGTTGAACCAACCCAGCCACTAACAGTACACGACCCATCCTCCCGCACTGAAACAATTCATTTCCATTCGTTCTTTGAAAGAAAAGAAGAGCTCGTTTGTAAACCTCAGAGCTGCTTGCGAGCTGAGCCCCAGACTGCTTTAAAAGCCTTCGATTTCAAAACGAAACGCTTCGGGTTAATCATAAAGTAGGGGCCCGATCCTGCCGTCCTAACAACAGAGCCAGAAAGGGGCAGGCGCTAGCCCGCGCTTGGGGGGTGTGTGTGAAGGGGGTTCTGCCCCTGGGAAAAAGGCTGCGGGGTTCAGGTCCCCATAAGGCGCCCACCGAGAGCTCGGCTCAGGCAAGCCCACAGCCAGGGCGCGCCTGTTAGGATCTGATCGCGCCTAGCACGCCCCAGGGTAATTAACTCGCGCTCCTGCCTGGCTACACCGCGTTCTAAGGCCGTGTCGCCACGTTCCAGACAAACAAGCCGTCGCCTCCCGAGCCTGGCTCGAGCCCGTGGCCCCCGGCCGGGCCCAGCCGTGCGGGGAAGCGTCGCGCTCCGCGGTTTGCTTGCGGAGAGGCCCCGCTGCAGGGGGAATGGGGAAGCGGGGTCTGCGGGAGCCAGGGGGGGTGGCTCGCGCTGTGTAGACACCCGGGTGACAAGAACCAGAGCGTGACAACCTTAAACATGGCAGCAGCCGCTTGCAAAGGGCTCCCCTTTCCCCCCCACCACGCTGCACTAAGGACACTCACTCCCTGAGCAGCCAGGCTGGACTGGGGGCCGCTGGCGCAGCGAGGACATGCTGCCGGTTGATTTGATTCACACCGTGCCTTTGGGGCCCATTACAATCCGTGCATTAAAGAAGAAGAAGAAAAAAAAAGAGGCATCCGCACCCTAACCACAAACTTCAACCGTTTTTCCAAAACGCTGCCGCCTGGTCTGCCTGTTGTAGAGCATTTGCAAACAGCAAAACCCCACAAAGGTAGCAGCCGTTTCTCCCTCCTTCACCTGCGACACCTCCAGTCCCTTTGCCCACCCACCTCCCCGGCTTCCCAACTAGCTGAGGTTGAAATGGCAACCCCACCACAAAGCCGGCGCTGCTTTTGGTGCTGCAAACCGCAGCTGTCTTTCTAGAAGTAACAGAGAGTGGCAGCAGGAAAACAAAAACAAACAAGCCAACAACAACAAGAAGCTTTGGAAATGACTGGCCGGGCGCACACACCGGGGAGGCGGTTTGCGGCACGGCCGCTGCTGCAAACGCCACCTCCCTACCATCTCCTGGGCACCCTCTTTCCTGAGCTGCCGGTCCGGGTCTTAGGGCTGGGGGCTCGCCTTTCAGAAAAGGTAGGAGGCGCATGGGCTGTCTAAAATCAAGGCAAGAATGCACCGGACTTGGTTCCCTTCAGAGTCCATTTGTTTTCCTTCCCCCTTGATACACTGATCAGTTTGTTCCCCTTAACACTGGACATCACCAGTAAGTTCCTCTTACTGTTCTATTCTCTTTCCCTCTCTTTTGTTTCACTCCATCTCTCTCTTTCTCTCTCTCTCTCTCACACACACACCGTCTGCTTTCATGTACAGAACATGCAGGTCTGGGGTTTTTTGTCACTCTAACCGCATCCGGACCCTATTAAAGTTCCTGGCGTTGGATAAACAATGCAACTGTCGCGTGCAGCAGTCTGAAAATAATTGGATTAGCTCGAACATATCAGCTAAATAGAGACAGTCCCTGCCCAGACAGTCAGAGTAAATGTCACCCTGGAAAAACCCTGAAAACTGATCGCGTTCATGCCAGGCAGCCCTGCAGCAGCCTCCACGGAAGGGGGGGTGGGAGCTTTGACTAATCGTCCCCTGCTGCACACAGAGGGAGAGAGCATGGAATATATTGGTTTTCAAAATCCGGCTCATGAAATCTTTGGGAGTGAGACCCCAGCCGCACAGTCTAAACAAAACTCCCTTTGCAGAATGCTTTCCCAACGCTGCTACAAACTGGCGTCTGGGCTGGGGGCTGAGACTGGACAGTGGGCTCTTTGGGGTGGATAAATCCGAGCTGCTCTGTTTGCCTCTTTGCCCAGTAAGTCACTGGACCGATATATACCCGTCAGGGTTCTGTGACAGCTCCCCGGAAAACAAAATAAAGCTGAAGTCCCCTGTTGTCCCAGGCCACGCCAAGCACACCAGTTACAGAGCCCCTGGTTTTAGCAGCTTTGGGGTGGATTGGGGGCTGCAAAAGGGACTGGTACAATTCCTTCTGGTTCTCCTCCTTGCTGGAAGCAAGGAAGGGCCAGGGCATCACCCAGATTCATGTAGACAAACTGGTAGGTGGATTCGCTGCCCTCGAATTAATCTCGGGATGCAAACTTCGGCTGGGACTTTTCATAGCCTTTACCCCTGACTATGTGGCAGGGCAGCTGTGATGTCCCCCCCCCCCTTCACACACACACCTTTGTTTTATTACAAAGTCCTGTTGCACAGGGCTTCTCACCCTCCTCTCCTAGCTCAGTGTTTCTTGTGGTGGGAGGGGAGCTGATCTGGCCCGTAGGGAGGCCAATATAATATGCCCCGGAGGAGACTGAAAACACCTTCTCCAGGGGCTGAGTTTGAGAGAAGGAGTGTGTCTGCAGGCCTGCGCATGTAGGTTCAGGGCCTCTCCATATTTCCCCTCCCTACCCCGGGGGTTAATAATCCAAGAACCCTACCTGTACTGGAGCGGGCTTTTGGTCTTGATTTGCACCCAAACCCGGTAGGCGAGCCCCCTAGGAGGCTGCTGGGGGGGAAGAGTCCAGAGCCATATTCTGGGACGTAGGGCGGGTAGGTGGTGATGGGGTGGTGAGCGGAAGAGGAGGCCCCTCCTAGCGATGCCATGGTGCTGCGGGAGTGAGAGGACTCCAGCTTCATGGTGTCAGCCAGAGACACCTGGTACTTGATGCATTCCTTCTCGTCCTGCCGGCTGGAGCCGGTGGATCCCGGGGTGGAGATGGAGGGATCCGGGGAGACATCTTTGGGAGGGGTCGGAGGGAAGGTGAAAAGGTGCGGACTGGAGTGGCCGGCTGATAAAGCGGAGGAGGAAGCCGGCGGGTAGACGGAGAGGGGTCCCGGAGAGCTGTGATGGATCGAGGTCTTGGAGAAGGGACTCAGGTTCCAAGGAGACGCACTGTGGTGGCCCCCTAGGGGTTTGCTCCCGTCCAGCCAAGGGAGAGATCCGTGGAGAAGCGGTGGGCGACACACCTGGCTCCCTGCTAGGAGAGAACAGAAGCAGGCCAGGTTACACTCCCTCAGGGATGGGCCAACACATGCAGAACCCCCAGGCGAGCTCTCTTCGTCACCCCATCTCAGCCCTCCTGGTGCTAACCTCAAGAAACAGCTCGCACAGCGCTCTGCTCCCGGGTGTCAAACCAGGAGAGAAAAGTGCAGCAGCTAGGGAACCAAGAGCTATGAACCCGCGGGCCTGAGCAAAACTGAGCGTAGAGCCCCGATCCTGAACTGTAGTGTCCCCTCCCCAGGCCGTTTGGCTAAAAGCAAGAGGCTATAAGTAAAAGCTATTATCGGATCGAGGCCCAGAGTGGTGCTCAGGTGTGGTTGGCTGGAGGGCAAAAGGGAGTCAAATCTTCGGATATTACTTATGGATTTGTCAAGCCGTTATTAAATTTCCCTCTCCAATCAATCGTACAAGGCCTCTCCGGTGAAGATCCCACATGAAACTGCCAACCCTCCGAGGAGAATCAATTCTTGCTAGTTTTGAGCTATTATTGGGTTCTTCATTCCCTGCACTTAAGTAACCATGAACTACGAGACACGGAGATATTCTGTCCGCAAGAAGAGAGCCAGGAGAAGACACTGATGTGTTAATAACTTTTTTTTCACCATTAGTCTGTTTTCGCACATGGACTTGTGTGTGTTCGACCCAGACAGCTTTATAAGGCCAATATCATACACACACAGTGTCACTGGTCTCAAAAGATCTTTACATTAGATATGTTCAAACCTTATCTTAAAATATACAGCTAGACTTCCTAATATTGCACTGGATTTTTGCAGCTGACATTTATCCTTTTATGTGACTGCAAAAAAAGAAAAAAAAGAAAAAGAAAAGAAAAAAACCTTAATGAAATTGACATTTTTAAAAAATATCTTATGACGGAAAACATATTGAATCCGAGGAGAGCAGCCAAATTATGCTTCTTGTGATATTTCTAACGATATATCGATCTCTACGGAGGCATTCAGATCTATTGTGATCATTCTAAATATAGAAAGCTACAGAGATCGAAATAGATGCAGATATGTAGAGACACCAATAGCTAGCTAGAATAATAGATAGTCTCTCTCTATATATATGATCTCTATGCATGTGTCTTATCATGTTAGCCATTTGAGAACAATACTGAAAGTCAATGTGCTAAAGGAAGGGGAGGTGGGTTAAATGAACACGAAGGGTCAAAATTCATTATCTTATCCAGGAAGTAACGTAGTAAATAATATTCAGGCTACATCCGAGAGACTGCATTTCCACTTTCTGCTGATAAATTGGGGCGGGGGGGAGGATAAAAGTTGCTGATCCTTAGCAATTATTATTTTACAGACTCTAAAAGCAGAACAATGCATTTACTGAACAGCGAGTAATGCTTAGCGGCTCACTCAACAAGTAGGTGAGGTCTTGTGCGTAGATCAGTGAATCCGGACTAGCTCCGATGCCCAAACGGTCATCCCTTTCCATTCAATTTTGGTTTATTTTAGGATGGGGTTTTTTTTCTAACTTATTTCAAACCTAGGGCTTCTGCAGAGTGGGATCGCTCCCAGGCTCTCGAGGTTATGCCCTGCTTTTTAATCCTAAAGAAAACTCCAGCGCTACAGTTTTATCGCTTGAATTATTCTTTTTAAACAGGGGGCAGGAGAAGATTCATCCTGAAATGTATTTAGGCCCCGTAAAAACAGTCCATGTGTCTCCTCGGTATAGCTGTGTATGAGGCTATGTGTTTGAATTATGATATAGATCGTAAATTCACATTCTATACGGCTACATACATAATTACATGTATGTGGTGTATCAGAACGCAACACGAGATGTATAAGTTTATGTACAGTAATATATAAAACACACTATCATGCGGCACAAGGTTAGAAAGCCAGGCTTTAATATCAAATGTATTCTTTTCCCATCCAGGGTTAATTTAACATCCCAGCCGTGAATACACACATATATCGCTATTCCATCTCTTCCCTCCCCTAATATTAACTGATAATGCTACAAAGAATTCTAATGTAAAGGCAAAATAAAATTAAAAAACAAATCCAAATGGGGTTTAACTGTTGAGGGTGGGGGGAAAGACTTGCATCGACTACTTTTTCTTTAGCAGTTATTTGGGGCAAGCCAACTCAAAAATTCAGCGGTGGCATAGTCTTGCCACCGGTAACAACGTGGTTGGGATTTTGGTGGTATTGGTTGGTTGGAGAAATAAATACGATCTCGCTGCTTCTCGCTGGATTTATCTATAATATATAGCTAGTAATAGGCCCATACCAAAAGGCCATGCATGCGTTTTACGCAACATGAGGGCATTTTGCAGATGACACTGTTCCTGGGATTAATTCAAGGCGCCCTTGTGAGTTGCTAACTGCTACTGGTTGCCTGCCCCTGTTGCTTATAATGCTTTAAATGAGCCGTTTATAAAATGAGACCCACAAACGCAGTCCTGTTTCCGGCGCGAAAACCTGCCCGCTGTCAACCTGAACGCGGCTAGCGGGGGTCCCCACACCAGGGCAAGGTAGGGGAGAACTCACCGTGATGGGCCGGCGGGTACCTCTGCACCGTGGCTCGGACCGAGTTGCTATAATAGGAAGGGACGTGATTCCCTTGTCCGTCGATGTTAAAAAGTACATCCACCTCCTCGGCCAGTGGGTACTGAGTTGGATCCATGTAGGAATGGCCGAGCCCTGGGTGGTGTGAGTCCGGATGCTGCCCATTCAGCACCGCGGGGTGATGGTGGCTTACCCACCGCGGCTGGTCGGCAGTCACCTCCATCGCGCTCTCTCGGTGCGGGACTGTCTCTCTTCCTCCTCCCCAAAGCTGGGCAGACTTTCAACGGGAAGGTAGGCGGTGAGTTTATAGACAGAGAGATGTTGTGGTGCTTTTTTTAAAAAAAATAATAAATAAATAAAATGATAATAATAATAATCGATTCCAAAAAAAGATGAAAAAATAGTAGGGAAAACAAACAAAAATCTAAGAAGCGAGATCCCAACCGTATCTTCCGCTCTTTGCAGATGTTTCTCTTCTTTGATCACCTGCAGTGAGAGAGAGGAAAGGGGAAGGAGCGAGAGAGAGGGGGAGAGAAACGTGTTTGAGTACTTCTCTGCTTTATCACCTGACTTTTAGGCAAGCGAAAACAAGCCCCTCCATAAACGGCGAGATCCTTGAAAGCCCACCTATTGTCCTAAACATAGACCCACCTATTCTACCAGGACACACACACTCTCTTTCTCTTTCGATCTCTCTCTCTCTGTGCAGCAGGGGAATGAAATAGACCAGAGTTACACACGCAGGCGTTGCTGCGGGCTGCTGCTGTTGCTGCCCTTTTCCTTTTTTTTTTTAAATGTTTGGTCAGTTTCACCAGCGATGCGCCTGCTTAGAAGCGGTGCAGATTGTGGCCGCGGAGAGCCTGAAGCATGTTCAGGGTTTATTCATTATTGTGCAATCGAAAGAAAGAAAGAGAGAAAGAAAAAGTTGTTAAAGAAATTCAGCACAAACCTTGGTGGAGAAGGAGTATGTGACCCAGGAGAGATGAAGCTGAAACTGCTTGATCAGATCAGATTGTCTCTCTCTCTCTCTCTCTCTCTCTCCGTCCCCCCCTTTTTTTTTTTTTTTTTTTACTAGGGAAGGCATTCTTTCTGAAAGGAGCAGGATGGCGCCAGCCGGCTCAATGCTCACAGACAGCTGTGGCGAGACGCAACTTAAGGAGGTTCTACTGTCATCAGCACTGAGGGGGAGGAGCCTGTCATGGGATAAGGAGGGGACAGGGCACGAAACACAAGGAAACTGCAACCCAGCTTTACTCCTTTCTACTTTGCCCCCCTCCCCCAATATCCCTTCACCCCCGTGACCGGAAAGTCTCTGAAAGCATCCCCTCGTTAGGCTGGAAATACTGAGACAGAGTTAACACGACTTTTTAGGGGGGAGAATATTCGAATGCACGTGAAACAGAAATGTTATTAAGGGCGTATCCAATACGTGTGTCTTGTTATATGATGTTATTAATTATTATTGTTTTCTTTCATTCCTATGCACCATCCCTACTCTCGCTTACAGCACTTACTTTGTTCAGGAGATGCACAGAATCTGAAGACACAACCCGGCCATCAAGAAATGATTTTCTACGGTGACTCCTGGCCACTCTCGGAAGAGTTTCAGAGAGCAGGTGAAGGATACGTGTGGAACTCTACGTGCTTTGTCGAGCTACTAATGTATCGTTTTAAAGCATTACCCCTTCCAGGGCAATTAGTTAATTCCAAGTAGGACTAATCTGGGGCGACAGTTGTACTTTACAATGTGTGCGAGAGGGGGTTTGTTCCTCCAAGGTGTCAACGTGCTGGAACAACGCGAAGACCCATTATTTCAGAAAGACCCATTCTTTCGGAGTTGTTCCTTTATTACATCCGATTCCATTCAGTTGAGAAGAAAAAGAGATCCAGGAAACAAAGCTCAAGCAGAGGGTAGTTTAACGTACCATTAAAATAGTGAAGGAGGCTCGGGCCGAGGGGGGGAGAGGTTGTTTGGGGAGGGGGGGTTGCTTTTGTTCTGTTTGTTTGTTTGTTTTCTAGTCGTGAAACCAAGCTGCAACGTTGCAGCGGAACATGCCTGCTGCGATCTCCTCTCTGGGGCTCAAACTCCGCGAGCGAGAAAGAGAAAGTTCCTGTTTTTCTCAGCGCTCATCTGACCACTTTCGTTTCCACCGCCGGCGCAAATAATAATGAACACATTAAGGCCCCGTTACGACCCATGCGGCCTGAGTGTGCAAATGAAGTGCCCAGAGCCAGCGCCGGGGGTGCAAGAGGGCTCGGGACGAGCGAGGCAGCGACTGGCTCCTGCGAAGCGGGGTGCACCAATCAGGAAGGAGCAGGAAGTGGGCGCTTGTGAAAGCCTTTCCTGATTGGCTGGGAGCTTTCGAACCGGCTCTGGCAGTTCAGTCTATTGAGCCAGTGCATCCCCTAGTGGCTCCCAGGCAGGCGAGGGCTCTGGCTTTTTTAAATGTGCAACAAGTCCCATGGCTTCCCCGGCGGAGCTTGCAAACTAGCAAAGTGTCAAGGAAAGCAATCATGAAATGGAAGTGTGCACGGATCGGGGGGCAGGGATAGCTCAGTGGTTTGAGCATTGGCCTGCTAAACCCAGGGTTGTGAGTTCAATCCTTGAGGGGGCCACTTAGGGATCTGGGGCAAAATCAGTACTTGGTCCTGCTAGTGAAGGCAGGGGGCTGGACTCGATGACCTTTCAAGGTCCCTTCCAGTTCTAGGAGATGGGATATCTCCAAAAGGCGAGAGCGAAATAAACTACTAGGCAACAATATATACAGGGACATAGACACGGGCAGCAGATTGGTCATGTAACGTGGCCCCTATGTGTGAGTACAAGCCCCAGCGCTTTAATGAGTCTTTCATTCATGCAAAAAGCGACCTCCGCGCAGTCCACTCCCCAGCGCTCCGGGCTAACTGGAAAACGGGGTGCTTTAATTTCATCGGGCCAACACCTGGATTTGGCCCACAGCAGCACCGAACGAGGCATAAAAACGTGCCGCATACGTCAGTCCTCCAAAACTTGAATTAGTCAGCCTTATGTTTAATATGCCAACTGGAAATTGCTCCGCGCACAGCCGACAGAGAGAGAGATTTTATGAGAAAATAGTAATGAGAATGAAATACATTTATTATGCGCATATCTGCATGTATGCCAATTGCATTGTTTTTATTACAAAGATGCTATATTCTAATTTGTCTTTCTCTTCGTAGCGGATAAATCGCTACCTACATTCAGTTACTTTTCTGAGTCGGGCAGTTCTGAGGCGTAGAGACAGAGAAAACATACCGCAGAACTGTTGTGCTCGTAGGAGTAAACGGATAAATATCGGTTTATCCATCCCGGTTTGAAGATGAACTCTGGGGATGCCAGACATTTAAAAGAGAGGAGGGCGGTCACGGGTATAAACAAGTCCAAGGGCTTTTAACTAATGCAATAAAACGAGATGAGCTAATCACTCAATAGCTAATCTCCCGGGCTCTCATTCGGATCTGCTGAGTGTACAGCTCCGAGCACCGTGCTAGTGATTTCTGGGTGCGCTGGCACGGCTTGTTTGTTGCCTACAGGCGCTGAGCGTTCAGGTAGGCACCCGGGCTGAGTCGAAGGGGATGCTCTGTGTAATGGAGCCGGGGCTGCAAGGAGGGGTATTCAGTGTCTGCTTCCCAGCTTCTCCCCCCGCCTCCCTTTGACTCCTGGATTGACAGGGTGTAATTGGGAAATGGGAGGTTGCTCTTTTGATGCTCTCTGCATTGCCCTTCGCTGGCCAGCCTAGCCGACGCCACTGGGCATTGACGTCAGGGGCCGAGCTCAGAGCCATGCTGCCGAGGGGAAGCCATGCTGCGTGCCAGGGAGCCCATTAGCGGGGCAAGAGGCAGGCAGGCAAGGGGCTGCAGAGAGAGAGGGGAGGAGGGCGCTTCTCGGGGCTGGAGGGGGGCTCTCTCTCACACACACACACGAGACACGAACCAGGCGCTCAAGGAGCCCCATGCATTAATTAATCTGAGACGCATTAGGTTTGGATCAACTCTTCAATCCTTATGCAGAGTAACGGTGCAAGTGTGTCCACACGATTCCCTTTTCCTTATGCTCTCTCTCTCTCTCTATCTCTGTCCTCGCTTCTCCCCTCCCCCCCCCTCCACCCCGCTCTGGACTGGGATGGGGGGGGGGAACATGGGCAGGATCCCCCCCTCTCCCCCGTAACATTTGCTGGCCTCTCCGGTTCCCTTTCTTAGCCTGTTCTCTGAATTAGTCAATTTCACCATCGGAGAGTGGATGCTGCAAAAAGCGCCGTCTCTCTCCGAAGACACACAGCTGTCTCCTATAGGTAAGAGGGATTCTACTTGGATTTCCTTTCTTATTTAATGTCGTTATTTATTGCTTAAAGCGATCCCAGGAGGGGGAATCCTGCCGGACTCCATCAATTTCAAGGGAAATTCTCTTTTGGGGGGCAGGGGGAGGCGGGCAGGGGGTCATTTTAAAGGCAACCCCTTCTCTCCTCTCTGACTGTACAATGTGTCAGTGCGTCTTATGATGAGACAAGGAACATTTTATGAAGACCCCTTTATACAGACCGAAAGCCCTCGGGGGAAACACGAGATTTCTAGAACAGATTGTCTTGGAAATTTAAAAACCCTTCCCCCTCCCAAAAAAGTGAATGAAGATGAGAATGAAAATGGTTCGTTCCTTGTGGTTATAGGATGATCATCGTAATAAGATCAGTGTTTTCAAAGCGCAGATGTTAAGATGCCGTGACAGGTTAGGTGAGATAAAACTGTATTTAGAAAGAGTTATAGCCAAGCCCACATAAACTTGCAGGCGTACAGCGAGACAGTCAAAAGGAATATCCATGTAGAAGTCGTAAAGTGGCTAATCCCAGCAAAGAAAACTTGTGTTTCTGGAAGCCTTGGGCGATCATTAAACTTGTTTACGTAAGTGATTTGGAGAAGAAATGTTTCAATTTACTGCAAAAACATAAATATGTGCATGAGGGCAAATATGGATCATATCCGGCACGAGGGTAGAACTGGAAATTTGTACTTTGTGGAACAATCTGACACTGATTAGGGCATGCACTAGAATGGCCTAACAAGTCTAACTTCTATAGCTCTAGGAGTGATTTCTGCTTTGTAAAGGACTGTGGACTAATGCCACCTGCATCCCCCATCCCTTCTGTTACAAAGCTGTCACTTTCACTTACACATGTCTCTGTCTTCTCTTTAACTTAGAATTTTCTGTGCAACTCTTGAGACAGAATGCGGAGGGGGTGAAACCAAAAGGTGGTCAAAAGAATGCTGGGGATTTGGGGCTAGTAGATTGAAAGCAAACACCTCTGATGACGAGTGTATTAGTCGTTATTCTGCAGAAAATAATCATGACCTATTTCTTCATTAGTCCTAACTACTCCGAACATAGTCCGGGGATAGAGTTTAAGAACAGCATAAATAACAAAAGAACAGCAGTGATAATGACACGACGATCTATTCACCCATGGTGGCTC